TGGATATGACTGGGGTACCTCAACAGTCGCCCTTATATCCTACTTTCCAGAACTCTTTACTATACCCTGCTTTCAAGCAATCTCCTGTGCGACGGTAGGCCTAGGCGCGGGTTGGCCCCACGTCAGTCACTTGCGTCTGACACTGCGGGAGCCTACTGCTATTCTGAACTAATTCACGCGCAAGTCACCGCCTCTTCGCCTACCCGATTGTGGAGCACGCGGCGGACATCTTTGGCAACGACGATCCAACTGTTGAGTTGCCTATCAACTTCAGTAAATGAAATATCTGCACACCAGTCAAACTTTTGCACTATTCGAACGTTATATTTTCTTACGTAGAAAGCAAGTGGTATACATGTGACTTTCTATAATTTCTAATAGCACATCTCGTCTGTACGTAAACGTTGAAAACATTGCACAAATGCGCTTTTTAGGTTGAAAGTGAGATCCCAGATCGCTAGCGAGATCCGACCAAGAGGCGACTGCAACAGACAGCGGCGTGACATTGGTGCATTTGTATTAACTTCTGTATGCATTCTGGCGACTGTCATCTTCTCAACTTCTTTTAATTGTGATCTGGAGATCGCTGAGTGTTCATAATGGACAGAAACAACATTCTCTCGTAGTTGATGAAAAATGGTGGACACATGAGTAAATAAGAGCTCATAAAAGGGAAAGTGATCTTCCTTCGTAAGAATTCTGAGGAGGAGACTCCGTTTTGCTTGGTTAATGCTTTATTTAGCGAAGACGAAATATCAAGGTCTTTAATAAACTCCGTTACTGCTCAGTGAAGTCCTTCGCTCAAAATTTTTGTCACATTTATATTTTCCTGCAGCATATTTATGCAACCAGTGTGCTAACAACGTATTTGCGGTGCATAATCGTCACTCCTCCAAAGTACCCAATAAAAAATATTAGCCAACTTCCACGCTAACAATTGCGTTCTATAAAAAGACAGGCTGAAATCAGACCGCCGTCGTATAATGTGGTCTAGTGTTAATTAAGTTCTTAATTTGAGTGCCTCTAAAGATAATTCCGCACTGCGAATCTCGATTATTGTTGTCTTCAGCAACAGTAGGGCGTCATAAGGGAAGATAGTAATTGCCCATCTTTCGAAACAATTTTCCCTTTGCTCTACAATTGGTTTTACTCAGATGCCACTAGTTAACGGGTTGTAATAACAGGCTAATTCTTTTCCTCCTTTAGCTCGCACTGTCAACGAACTACACTTCGATAAGGACAACATCCTGCTATGCGAAAAGTCTGTTATGGATGCCTACGATCGTTTAGAGGACCTTGCAAATGTGGGTCATGCTTTTTGTTGTTTCTAACCAGATCTCTTTAAGATTACGGCGTGAATCCTTTTTATGAGGGTTAATTTTATTGTGGGTCCACAAAATTGACCAATAATATCAGTTGTTATTTCAGCAATCTCTGCCTAGTTTAAGATTACACCTTTTAACCTGCCTTTTTCTCACAAGTTACGCTGCTTTTATTTTTGTCTGGGCTACGTTTCCTTTATGCATTTGCCTGTTACCCAAAGGGTCGCTTTCAGTGTTCCTCAAGCCATTTTTATGCAAATGTAATTTCCGGTATGTGGAGTTCGAGAAACTTAATTGTTGTTGAGGACCGTAAGTGTTCTGAACTCAACTGAATTTAGCGAGGCTCTGCTAGCCATACGGGTAAAAGTACACATTAAACAGTTTAGTTTGCATTTTGAACGTCCAAAATCAAAGAGATCTGCCTTGAGGTTCGGCAGGTCATTGAGCCTAATGTTTTGTCATCTTTTCTACAGTCTACCGTCTTAGTGGTTGCGCTAAAAACACCTCAAGGTTACGCGCCAGTGCGATGTAGCGGTCTGGCTTATGTTATGACCTTGTATTTTGACTAGCATCTCAAATATAGAATCTTGCGCTCGACGACTAACTGCATCTAGCTTCACATCTCCCAGCTTACTGCCTGAGGTTCGGGGATTGTCTTACACTGATGCAGAATAGGTTGCAATATTGTACATCAAGTGGTGGTTTAGAGCCCGTGACGTCACCTTCATTTCCATTGGCTGGGTTCTCGGAGTCTGATTCAAGTGTGTTGACTCATAAGGGGTTTGTCCTAAACCTTCTCGAGGACCAATAATAATTATAGATGCGCAAGGCGATGAGCCGACAAGTGCGCCGACTTGCTTGTACACACATATTAGCCAATCTTGACGCAACTGGTTATGGGCCTCACACTATCACTTTACTTAGGCAGCTGATGAGGACCGATTGCTCGACTATACTCTTCCCACATTAACGGCTTTGAATCACCCTTTTTGATTTATAGGAACGAAGCGACTGCCTTCAAGACACATTGGCATGGCACGAATTCGATCACAAATGCAACATCCTCAGGCAGTGGATGCAAAAGAAGGTTAGTTGAGTAGGCTCTCTGTGCACCCCCACCCTCCACGGCATTTATTGTACTACTTTAAATTACACAAACAGTTCAGAACCTTGAGAAGGCGACAAGGTGCATCATTTAAGCACAGCCAGAAAATAAATCCACATTTGCATAAAGGAAGATTTAACTTACTTCTAAAATCCACAATTGCGCGACGATATTTGTTTCTTGCTTGCGGACTGACGTCCGATGAAATGCTATACATGCATCCCGACTTTTCACCCAAAAAGACCTTCTTTAACCATTGCAGCAAGAGATACTTTCGGCGGCCGATCGTTCATCCAAAGGGTCTTCATCTCGTCGAGGATCTATTGACGTACGTTGATTCTTGCATCCCGTGCTGACTTTTCTGTGCTTTTTACTCAAAGGCTACAGCAGCTAAAATCAATATTAGATCTCCCCAAGGTCACAATCTGTGATTTTGTGTAAACACAGTGGTCACGAGTCACACATGGTCACACATGATTTTCTCCATTGAGATCTTCAAAGTGCTCTGGTGAAGAGTTTACACGATTGCATTTCTGGACATCCTAGATAATCTTGTGGCCAAATACTTTGTGAACCGGGTGACTAGATTTGGATTTATATAGTTCAAGCTGCTGCCTCCTTCTGCTTCTTAAATTTCAAACTTAACTCCCATGTCAACTTCTAGCGAACACTAGATGAGATCACAGCCACGTACCCACTACTCGCTGAAGTCGAAGAACTCGCCGACATTCTCACGGGCAAAGTTCCTTGCAAAAAAAGGAAGATTTACCAGCGAAATGACGGGTGAGTCCCCATAAACACTTTCGAAGAAACTCACGATGCGATTGCCAGTATCTGTTATTCTAATTCGAGTGGTCTTATCCTTGCAAAATTATGATTTTCGACTTTTCAGGCCTCTTTACTACAAAAACTTGGCTGAAATCACCTTGAAGGAAATTCGGCACAAGTAAGTTGGCGATCCCTTGTCTGCCAGTGTGATAATTCCCCGTTAAATTTTCTGCATGGAGTGGTCATTCTCCGCTCTCCCTTTCTTTTATTTTGCAGCTGGAAAAAACTGGACAAACTAAAACGTGCCGAGGAAATGAAGAGAGCTTCAGGTGACAGGTTAGTTTGAAAACTGCCTATTTTATCAGCTGGGTGCTTGAGACAGCCACAATGATCCTTCTAGAATGACATAAGCAAGGAAATCAGTTGATACAATCAGGTAGACACACATGGCCTTTCGGCAGGAAAACGCATAATTTGCCTTAACATTGATTTTCCGTGCTTCCTATTTGTGAAATTTCATTCAATTAACGGAAAACCGTTATCGCAAATTTGCATAATACGGTGGGAATATGTAGTGTATTGGAGTGACTCATGATTCTCGCGCGCATTTTGTCAACGTCAATCGTCACTGATGGTTTGTCTGACATTCAATTGATCAGTTTGGGGTTGACCTAGAACTACAGGCTAGACAGTGAGCGGGAAAGTGCCGGTACAGAACTGCATGTCTGCAAGCGAGAACACAGCGGTTAGATTTCTTGACAGACATTGTTGATATACAGCAGGGCATAAATCAGTTGCGACCAGTCGATGTCAATTAACGGTACCCAAGTAGCCGTTGGCACGGCACGAAATGTCTGAAACGGTTTAGTGAATCTGGTTCAGGCAAGGCGGCTATACCCGCAAACTAGGAAGGTTACGCCCAATGTGGGTAAATGAATTTGCGTCAGAAACGAGAATAAATTACGCTAAGTCGTGACTCACCTGAGAGGACCCATACGCGTCTTCAAATTAGACTAGACGCGTGAGCTGCTTAAATAAATATGCGCTGACTCGAAGTGCATGTAAACTGTAAACTGACTGAAAATCCTGAACCTTAACGCCAATCCTAAGTCCTAATTCAAACCTTAACACTAACCTTTAGCCCTGAACGTAATTGTATAACGTTTTACCCCAGACGTAGGTCCCAATCCAAACCCAAGCTTTATCCTCAACTACAAGCCCTAATCATAACCATAAGACCTTATTTCACAATTATAAATCTTAATTCCTAAGCCTTACATCAGTCCTAAAACCCAATCCTGAATTTGAATGACGACCGAAACTTTTCTAATTAAACAAATACAAATCAAAGCATACCATGTCCTTTCTAAATCAAATAAGTAACTGTGTTACCGCAATAGAAACATTGGACTTACATATTAGATTGTCACCGCAAATTCATGGACGGGTAAGCTTCTTATACAGGTGACCATATCTCCTTTTTCTCAAACGAAACAAAATTTTACCCAATAGTCGGTTCAACCCAATTTTCCTAGATACTTCTACGTGCCAAGCAGTAGACGCAAATAGGATGCAATCGATTGGTAAATGCCCTTAAAAGCCCTATATGTAAGGATGGTGACGCTGTGGTCATTGGGAACACATAGTATTGGTTAAGGGGGCTCAATACCATCATGATGTGCAAGACAAAAATTAGGCTCTAGGAACAAGTCGGATATTTCTGCTTGTGCCGCTCAGCAGACCACTTTATCGAAATGTTGCGAAAATGCGTGCTGTTTGATTAAGTCTTTGAAACCGTGTAAAGTCAGCGGTCATGACTATGGCGTTTTGAAACTTAGGTCTTATTTAAATACATCCGTTGTCGGACTAAAGTGGATCGACCCTGCAAATCCTGTTTCTTCTTGTTCAAACGCCAAAACAGAAAAAGGAGGGCACGAAAATGCTTACATAGAATTAAAGAGCAGTAAGGGTCTGTGAAAAAAAATAAATGCGATCGCCAGAACAATAAATTTATTGCCTGACATGTCGAATTCATGCTCGAACTCAGCATCAGAGACGGGTATTTCCGCAATAGATACAGGTAGTTCGTAAACAGAGAATTGCAGTATCGACAGGATACAGTCACTAGTTTACCTGCCCTTTTAAAAAATAACGGCTTCCATCTTCATCGGCGATGGCTGTCCTCTGATGTACAAATTGCTTGACGGCCGGCAAGGAAGTGTTTAATTTTTATGGTGACGCACTCAGAGCCCAGAGCCGGAAGTGCACCCCAGTTGAGCCATGCCGGCATACCGGCTGCGCGCGCCGTGAGAACATATGACGCCCGCCCCCACGTGCACTGCAAATGTTCTAGAAAGCCTCGCAGCGTGGGGAACCACGACAGAACTCCCCCTCTCGTGCGATAGGCCAGGAACAGTCTAGAAGGACCAACGCCTTATAATAGGCTGTAGTGGACACGCCGATTCATTCCGTTGTCTCTTTATCATCTGGGATAAGGGCTTGCTATCAGAACCGCTCACTTGGCTTCTTCCGCCTATTAACCGGGTTCGAAATACTGGGCTATAACGTTAATCACTAACATTTCATTACGCATGTTGCACGTTGGCTCGATGATGGCTAGGCCATCGGGCTCACCTGTATAGGCGATGGCTGACTGCTTTGGCCAAGCCAAGTCTCAACACCGAATATGGATTGGGAAGGGTATTGCGCTGGTTGCTATATGGGGCTCCCGTAAACCATGACTCTATTAACTCGCGGTTCACAAAATTGTCAACTCTCGCATGAATTTTGGCCTGATCAAACTTAACTATGTGGCCGGGTCTCGTCGACTGAGCCGCGATATGAGAATTGGCGTCATTTCACCGTACTACTGTAACGCCCCTGAGCAGTCTTCCAGTTTCTCCGACAGAGTTACTCTGTCCCCAACTGCACCAGATCGGATAAACGATTTCAAATGTTTCTTGTCGTGCCAGTTGGTCTTTTGGTTTCATTACCGGACAACTGATGGTTGTCCTCGATGCAATTCTAACTGCAAGTGCTGTATTTGCGCTTTTATCGGCAATAAGGATCTATATTTATTGTTAGATAATGCTAAAAACTATGCCTGTACGTTCCCGGGCGATTGCCACGCGTATATTATTTTTGCCTTCAGTAAACTTTAATGATCTTGACGTCCGAAGTTTTTTATAGTGACCACACTAACTTATTTCATTGCATGCAGTTATATGGCACCAATCTATACTTTATTGTCAAGTGTCTACTCGTCTTTTTTAGTAGCACGTTGAATTAAGCCTACCAGCAGTAGAATTATTTCCATTGCTGGAAGAAAAATGATGCTGTCATAGTTTTCGAAAGAGTTGCATTTGGCGCTGCGCGATAGTAACAAACGTCCCTTTTTCAGTTACATTAACGACGATTATAGTAGCGAATCGGATGATGGATATGAATCCTAGCGAGATGCTAGAAATATAAAATAATTGGATAACCAATAGAAGTGAATATGCGAGTTCCAGAAAGCAGTTCAGAAGAAGAAGTTGCGACCACTGGAACAAGAGTTTTATGCTCGCTGTCGTCAGACTTGTTGCTGGGTCCTGCCCTTTCCACGTGAGTGATTCTTTTGCTCAGGCAATGTTTCAGTAGAAGAATGCCAAATCGTTGCGCTTGTTGATGGACTGGGGGTCTGAGAACCACGACTCGAGCAGCTTGCGGCTCA